GGAAATGAAAGAAGCAAAAAATAAAAAAATAAATTGAAAGTGAAACTCGTTCAATTAATTCTAATTAGTCGTAATTGTTGATCTGTCGAAAGGTCACAATGACTCTTAAGATTAAGAAAAAATCAACATCAAGTCAGGCGTTGAACATAAATTGAATTGGAAGATTTAGCGATTTCCAAATGCATTAAATGAAGTTTATTGGATTGTGACATAGATTTTCATGTGGAATTGACATCAATTTTAATGCTTAATATGCACTTTTTGACATAATTTTATGGTTCTTCTTCTGACACAAATTCTGGATTTTCGGAGAAAGTTGTGAGTCAATGTGTCAAAGCTGATAAAAAAGAAAAAAGAAATTTTAAGAATAAAATCAGCTTAAAATATCGAGATTGATGCTTGGGGGGTTCATTTGTATATGATGACTAGCATTTTATAATGTGTAGGCTCTGAACTTGCTGGAATCGACTTTCTCGAATCAATTTCAACATTTCAGAGATCAAAGCTCCATTTTGACCGCTAGAAAATTAAATTTGCCTCTAAACATCATTTATGAATGCCCCCATAAGCCGACTTAATATGCATAAAAAGCTTAAATCATTTATTTTCTCCCATTTTTATGCAGCACAGCTAAAAACCTGTTTTTTCTTTATTTTTTATTTACATTATTTTTTTCTATTTCTACTTCTCAGTTTTTGAAGTGAACTGCTTAAGAACCATATCAGGGTCAATGTTCTTTCACCATTTCTTTTTCATATTTATGTTCTAACTTCCATAAATAGCGAGCATAATGAATTCTATTCTTTCCGTGCCTTTTATTTTGTTTGATTTGATCCACAAGGTAATAAACTTTCATGTTCAAATGTTTTACTTTCTAGAAATCACCTAAAGGCATTAAGGTAGACTCTATTAAGAATGTACGGTGGCTTCTATCACTTCCTGTATTTTTTCACTTCACTACACATTGGCATGCATTGTCTTTTGAACATGATATGTGTTAATTTATATTATTATTCCTTTTCAGCTGTGAACAGGGTTGGGGATGTTAAATTTGACATTTTTGTGTAACTTGACATTCTGTTTGGATGAAATTTAATCAACTTGTACGTTAAAAATTATTATTGTTTACTTTATAGCTGTGGATGTGTTGTAATTGTTGTTTTAAGTATGGTATTTAATAATGTATAAGGTTTAATAACTGTATGAATGGAATGGCTTCTGAGAATTGAGCATTTCGAGTAGAGCCGGTTTAAAAATTGTCTTGAAGATCTGCAAAATAAAAATTCCTCCAGAATGCAAACATAAATTCTTTACACGCCCTAATAATTCATCTAACCTCAAAATTCACTGCATTCCCAACCCTGAAGCTTCAAACACATAAAATAATTCTATCTTCCAAACTCATCAACATAATTTAAAGGAAATTAAAATGCACAAGTCCATGAACCGTCAGTGCAATGTCAATTGTTTTGCCGATAATAAAACAGAAACAGGTTGAATGTATGCCGGCTTCCGGAATGTCATAAAACATTAAAACAAGTTTTATTACGTATATCTGATGTTCTGACGTTTATGCATGTTACTTCAATAGTCATAAATAATGCAAATAAAATTATGAATATGGATTCTGTGGAATGTTTTTTTCGTAACGACGAGACAAAAAGTAAAAATATTTTTGTGAAGAAATTTCAGCAGACAAAGATTTAAATGAAAATGGGAAGTTTTTTTTTTGGAAATTGTAATCGATACGATAGGGAGTCGTTCACTTATGACGTCCAAAATTAACTGGCGTTTAAAAAAAAAATAATCATTGATTTCCAGGAATTTCTAATGTTCTTGTGCTGCTGACCCCTCCCTTCCCCCCTTTCTGGACGGCATATGTGAACCGCTTCGGTAAATTGAATTATTTTAGCACTTTTCAACAATGAAACACTGAATTTAATTTTGTAGAGAATTTTTTTCTCGGTTTATTGACTGTGGATTGTTGGATGTAATGGAATGATTGTGGAGAAATCAATGAATTTTTTTTTTGTTGATTTCTTTTTTGATTTTTGAACAATTTTGAGTTCAGACGACTTAGAATATTGAATTAAAAACTGTCCACGCTTCATCTTTCAAGTTGCAACAATACATTTTCCTTTTATTTCAATAGCATTTTACAAAGTTGTTCAATTAAAATCTCAAAATTTTCCTAAATTGGCGACTTGCACAAGTCGGTTAATTTAAAAGTAATCCGGCATTAAGCTGGTGAAACTCTGGCAGGATGCTGTATTCGTTTTGAGTGGTGCTGGATTTCTATTCAATTAAGCAACTTGTGCTATTCGAGATTCATTCAAAATATTCCAAATTTTTAATTCTTTTACCAATCAATCCTCTCGTCCATCACTTAAACCCACTTTTATTTGCTTTTCTTCGCTGTCCAAAAGATTTAACGAACAAATTTAATGTTTTTTGTGATTCAACAAGTGCTCGGTCAACATTTTATTTTAGAAAAGTCTGTTCGTGTCTTGAATGTAAATGAACGATTACCTTTTATGTGAAATTATTGAATTATTACTTTTTTTAAGCAAACGTTTTTTTATGGGAGTGTTGATGTAATATTCTTGTGAAATGAGAAAGTGAGAAGGTTATTTATCAATATTTGCATTAATTAAGGTATTATTTTCTTTTATAGACGTTTTTTAAGTGTTTTAATTTTTAAATAAAAATTATGAAATTTTAGGTTTGACCTAAAATGTCTTTGCTTGGAGATGATTCTTGAGTTTTTTGGTATCTAATTCTGTTATATTAAGAACAGTAAATAGGTTATAATAAGTTTCATAGTTCAAACAAATAAAATTAATAATGAACTTGAGCTAGTCAGACTTTAAAATCAATAGCTGTGCGTTTTGCTCATAACGGGGCTAATGACAGTTTAACGACAACAAACTCCAACTCAAACCTAGAGCTACAGTTTGTTCGAACTACTCCTTTTATGACACTACTGCCTGTAACCTAAAAACGAAGGCTGTGAGCTTGATTGTCAGTACATATAATTTGAAAAAGAACATGCAAAAAGTTTCCCATGCAGAGTCTCGAACCCAAGATCGCTGTATCGATTTTGCAACAATCTGGTACCAATGGACTAAACCATTCCACCACCGCACCAGCTCAGCTCAAACAAGAACTATTACAAAATCAAGAATTTATATTCTTGAAAAAGGAACGCACTTAAAATGAATTTCCTATCGGATATCCACTAGAGATAATAACTTAACAACACAAAATTCCGTTACAAATTCCCGTCCATTTTCTGTTTATTTAAGTGAATCAATTTTTGTATTCACTTAAATTATAGCTTCCAACTTACTTAATCTTATTATGTGCCTTTTTAAGGAATTACATAAAAGCGCTAAATTGCTAATGGTCTGAATTTAATTTAATGCTAACATCATAATAAGTTACGTTTAGTGTGAGAGAGAAAAAATTCGTGAATGGAAATAATTTTTTTTTGCAATTCTTCTGCTTTAATTGTTGAGTTTTACTTAAGAAGGTCTTGTTCGTAAATTAGGTGCTATAAAAAAAGTTGAGGTACCCCGTGTGGACACTTGTTGTTAATGTACAGGTCGTTCACTTATGACATCCAACATTTAGATGGGAGGGGGGTCAAATAAATTTGTGACATATTGTGACAATGGAGGGAAAAGGGTCAGGAAATTTGTAACATCCAATTTTTTAATCAGGAAATTATAATTTTTTGCGTCTTGGATTTGATGTCACAAGTGGAGTATTGACATCTATGACCGAGGGGGAGAGGGGGATCTAAAAATTGAGATTTTTGATGGACGTTATAAATGAACGTTCCCAAAGGTTGTCATTAGTCGATCATAAGCCTAGCTATTTGCTAGACATTCACATCAAGTATCCACTCGAGTTTACTCGTCCTAATCAGATTAGTTTTGGCAAAGTGCAACATTTTAAATCTACTAAAGTGTGTCTGACTAGGTCAGACTAGTCTTAAACATACACCTCACATGTGAAGTTCCCCTTGATCTCATTGAACCCGATAAAATCAAAAGAATCTCTAAAAATATCAAGAAGCTCCTCTCAATAAATTTCCAATGCGATTTCCTTCATTGAAAGAATTCGAAAGAATAATTCACGTAATTAAGAAATTCAAATGCTTAGCAGCATAAAACAATCAGCAAATCCGGGCACAAAAAAGAAAGAAGAGAAAAAAATTCCATAATCATAAAAATTAACTCATTAAACACAGCACATTTTATACACTATGGATCTTAATTTCATATGATGATGATTTCATCAGTAGCAACATTTTATGAATTGAGGAAGATTACAGTTTTTTTTAATAGGCAGCAATGAGCATTATTTTGCGATCTTAAAGAATTCTTTTTCTTGTTCACTACTCGGTTGGATTGAGGCACGATATGGAATTCTGATAAGCGTAAAAACATTGTGCAAGGTGCTCATTTTTTTGAAATTTATTTACTTTATGGATAATGTAAATAGTGAGGCACTTGCTGTGTCAAAATATTTCTTTCTTTTTATCAGTTTTACTATGTTAAGGTTAGTAAATAGGAGTAGAATGGAATTTTTAGTGGTTGAGTTGATGAGGAATTATTGAGCATGTTTTGGTTGAATGAAAATATTTTTTGGGATCGCTCATTTTGTGAATAATGAGTTTTTATCAAGAAATTGGATAATCACGGTTTCAGACGTCAGGAGCTGGTTTCAAGATAATCTCTTGTTACCAAAGATTACCAAAGATACCCTAAGATCAATCGGTATCCTTGAAACTAGAGTAAGCATCCCAAATAATTCTAGAAATCTGCTAATTTCACATCAAGACAGTAGCATGAAGACAAAACCGCACTCACGCACTCAAAACCTCAAAAACCCAGCTAAAATCTAATTCAACTGATAAGATAATATCGCGTGGGTATGGCACATTCTTGTCGCATGTGTGAATCATTAAAAGAAAAAGTTTTTTGTCTACTTACGATAGCTTTTAATTGTCCATGAATTGTAATTCCAACCATCGGTGCAAAATGTATTGTTACACCAGGTTTGATTGTTAAAACGGCATTTTGTAGAATTTCTAAATCTTGTCGCAACAAATATGGACTTTCACTGAGATGTAACGTCTTTTGTCCCGTTACTTGTCTCTCATTAATTTCCGTAAATTTTGACGATGACTCATCACCATTTGTGGGTATATTCTCAACATCATGAATATTATTATTCACATTTAAATTAATATTCTTCTTTTCATCAAACTCACTATCGATGCTGAATTTATGATGAACATCAATTGGCTCATACACGTAGTCACTATCACTATTATGATTTATATTTATATCACTAACATCATTCTCATAATTTTTATTCGGTTGAGTTATAAATTCCACATCATTTAGTTGACATTTGTACACTTTTATTGTATTTAGAAAGTAATAAAAGAGCCAAATTTGAAGAAGTGTCTTGTAGACATTTTTTAACTTATATTTTGGCATTTTGATAATTTTTTATTTTTCTATTTTCACTCAATTATTTTTTCTGTATTTTCTTTATTGCTTCACTGTTTTTTTTATTTTATTTTCTTTCACTTCTGTTAACAATTTCTAGTCATAATTATAATCGTTGTGCTTCACTTGGTAGCCTGTAGATAGATATAAAGTTATTATTAACTTATAGTTTTCTTTGTTTTCGATTCTGTAATATGAAAGGTCTTTCACTGACTGGCTTATCTAAGAGGTCAAGGAAAATTGATTTTTATTAACTTGTGAACATTTCTTTATTGTTATTGCTGTGCATGAGATTGGAGAGAGAGCTGCTTGATTTAATTTATTGTTTGTTGGTTTTTTGAAAGAAAATCTTTTTCTCGTTTACTTAAATTTGACTTAATCTTAAACAAAGCTAGTTTTTAAGCGTAATTGCCCCCCTAAAATCATTAAACTTCTACTTTTGAATATTCAAGCGGACAAATGGCATCAGTGAATTAAGTGATAAAGCGTTGGCCTTACGTGCCAAAGGTTCTGGGTTCAATCCCAGAACCAAGTCAAGTTTAAGAAGCTCTTTTTCCATTTCACCGCTCTAGTTACGAAGCTCATTTCGTGTAGTTTTGAAGTCTTTGGCACATAATGTGGTCTCCTTTGCTAGCTATACTTGCTAGCTCCTTTGCTAGCTATACTTGGATAAACTAGCATCTAGATGACTTCATTACATCAGCTTGCGCATACTTGTTGTGACTAGGGACATTGCAGGCTACATTAGGTCTTTAGACGGACTCGTTGCTTTGCAATATACAGAGCTTACAAGTGGTTCGGATTGCGCAGGTCTAAAGGATGTGCAATAGATTTACAATCGCAGTGCCTCCAGCACAAAAGGCTGAGCCCTTCAAGCATTACACATAAAACAGTTCAAATCTCAACAACCTCCCATTTTATGCACACACATGATTAATACAAATCAAATAATTACATAGAAAATTTGTAAAATAATTTGTCACGCTTTTAACTTAATTGAGCTTATCATGTAAAACTGATGACTAATAGTAAGCATATCGGCTATTATCGATTCGATAAGAGGAACTTAAACGATATGAAAAATAAAATCGAGGTGTATGCGGAAGCAAAGGCATTTTTCTGCACTTCCACTTGTTTTGTTGTTCTAATTTACGTGATGTTTCATGTCATAAGCTTCCGTTCCCAAAGAGTTGCATGTCGATGCTTTGAAAAGTTGTGGAATGAGTCCGAGGCGTAGTCTGAAAGGGTTTTAGGGTCATAATGCTGTATGAACCACAAAATAGATTCTTTAGAAAAATTTTTCTAGCTGCACTCCTTGAAATGAACGAAATAGAACACTAGTGTCCAGAAATCCCATGAGCCATATATCATGACATCCCCCCAAGGTTCGCTGTGGCACAAAATAGGTTGCGCGTCACTGAAATAGACAGCAAATTCCATCGGAATTTTAAACGCGTTCTGGTCTACAATTTGAAGCACTTTTCCTTTCAATCAAGCATACATAAAACTAGATTTTATGCAACAAAAACATCAGCACTGGGTGTTGATGACGACGAGATGTGTGATCATATGAAATAACAACGTACACACATGCTTTCCAAGAAAAGATCGTTAAGATAACTTTCTTTATGTATCGTGTAAGCTTTACTGTTGTGTACGGCAGCTACGTGAATGAGTCAAGCTTTGTTGACTTTTTACATGTGTTGGAAACTGGTTTTGAGTGTTTAGATGTGAAAAATAGTATGATTAATTATAATATGGAAGTAATGTACGCGAAAAATTCTTCATGCCTTTATGAGATACTGGAAATTGTGTCGATTGGAAGCTCGGGTGTGTGTAATGAGTTACAAAATATTATATAAAAAAAAAACATTTACAGATGTTGACGATCATTTTCTTGTTTTTGTGTACTCAAGGTTGTAAATTATACAATTATTGTGCATATATTTATGCAATACAATCGTATGTGGAGTTCCTAAAATTGGTATTGAGGTGATTAAATTCTCATTATTATGGAAGTGTGCATAATCGACATGATGGATAATTTTATAGGGTCTTTGATTGGAAATGCTGCAAATTTAGTGATTTTTTGCGTTTATTTAAATCTACAAACCTTAAAAATAATTGTAATGACTAATTTCCACTAAGATCTTTCCTTTAATTCCCAAATTATCACTCACTAAGTCCACAAAATTTCTTTTGTTTATTCCAATATCTCAAAAAGTATTTTTTTTTGTCATACTTAGACGTCGTAAATGAGATAAGCAAACACACAGGAATAAACGTTTAATAATTTTTATTTTCGTAGACGTCAATAATTCCTATAAAAAGCTGATGACTCAGTCTATATGGATTTTTAAAAACAAAATTTCACTCAGTTGCAACCTTGATGCATTTTTAATTCTTTTTATAGGAATGAAATTAACATTTGTGCATGTTTAATGTCTTTTCTTTCTCTCTTTGTGCATGTTTCTTGGTATGGAAATGCACATAATTATTATCGGATGGATTCTTATTGGTTTCTAGTTGGTGGAACATAAGTTATTTCTTGTAGATGTATTTTGCATTTAATTAATGCGAATGGGTGCTGGATTGTAGACTTTTAATAGAGTTTTTGAATTCTTGAATATTTTAAAAAGAATCTTCTTATTTTATGCTTCAATCAAGCTTGAATTGAGATGCATTAAAATTGAAACTTGATTTTAATACTTAAGAAACTTAATATTGAATATTTAAGCAGAAAAAAATAAAAATCTTTCAACAATTTATCTTCAGCGCGAAACGAACCCACTACCTTTACATTATCGGTCACATCCTCTAACCAGTGAGCTATCGGGGTTGCTAAGAATCTTGGCAGAATGCTAAGTTAAACTTTTTTCATATAATCTTTGATTATAATCGTCGATGCGACTATAATTCGAAATTTTCAACAATTTTTATCTTAATTCTATTAACAACTGCTTAACACATCGTCTTGCAGACTCAAATCCAACCAAAACTCCCGTAATTCAACTCAAAACTTCTTCTAATTCACATAATCTTCCATCCATATTATATTCTTATTATGCAGCAAGTCACACAATGCGTAACACAATCAAGAATTACGTGCACCGTATGTTGAGGTGAATTGAGCATAGAAATTTTGGGAATCAAAGCGTGAAAAATTATTAAGAACCATAAGGTTATGTGATGTTATTTCTTTTAAGGTCAAAGAACTTCTTCTTAACAAATTTGTTTTAGAATTTTATGAATGGGAGGGAATTGTTGTGCACTGAACAAGATGAAATTTTGGAATTATAGGTTAAGTATTTTGAGGTTATGTGCTCTGGTTGTGGAGGATTTTTGGCAGGTTTTTTGGTAAAAAAAGTTGAGATTAATTGAGAATTTTGATTTTTTGAAGATAATTTTTATTGTAAATCTCCACATTTCCCCAGTCAGAAGCTTAACCAGTCTAAAATCATCGAGTTTACTTTAATAAAGTGTTATTTCTTAAGGGCCGTTCACTTATGACGTCCACGGTGGGTCAGCAAGAATAAAGAGTAATTGAAGATATGTAGCCTAAAATCCTAATTTACTAGCACATCAATTCCACAAATAATTCCGAATCACTCAACAGTTCTCTTCTCCATTACAAAAACGATCTCATGCCACTCTAGTTTCACAATATCACTTTATTTAATTTACTTATTTAGTATTATAACTTGAATGAGTCACATCTGATGACTATCTTTTATTGAAATTTATCTCATTCAGATTTCTAACTTACAACTTCTTTTTTCCGCAATTTTATACGTTATTCTATAACAGCACAACTTAATTAACATAAAAAAAAAATATTTTGTTTTTGCTTCACACACTGCACGGAATCTGAATTTGTATAGAATTATAAATATTACTTTTTTTTCTCTCAACGATGTTAACTTAAGCGAGTCAATTTATAAACTGGAATTTTTGTACTCAACTGACAATTTTTTTGTTATTTTCGACTGAAAAAGCACAAAATGGAATAAAGAAAACCGTCTTAACGACACACAAACGTTCTCAATGTGTTCTTTATTATTTTATGTTATCTTCTTTTCATTCTCTTATAAGAATGTCTTCGTAATTAACATTTCTCTCTCTTCTTTTAACCTGTGTGTGGTTAACATAAGCCTTGGCTTTAACGTATTTTTTTTTGTCTCATTTCTCCAAATTGATTTAAATGGGTTAACAAAAAGTTTATTTTTGAAATTATTGATTTTTTTTATTATATGTTGCGAGTGAATTTGACAAACGTTTTTAATAAACAAGGTGGAAAAATAAATGTTCGATTTTATCGATTTTCAATATGTTGTAGTAATGAGTGGCACTGTAAATGAGGCAGTTGATATTAAAAATCCAAGGTGAGGAAACTTTTTGAGATATATTTTTTGGATTTTAATTTAATTAAGAGTCTTGCTTGCTAGGCAGGGGTGAAGTGAGAAATTCTTTGAGATTGGGATTGGGAATTTTAATTTATTTGAATGGAAGAGATTATTTAAAGTTGTGAAGGTTTAGAATATTTTCTTTATTTTTCTAATATCCCATAAATGGTTATTCACTAGCTTCGTTTGCTTTACGAGCCCTACCAGATCGGCACACATTGAAATTCATTCCCTTGAATACTTGGTATATAGTTGGAAATGGCAGCTTTGAAGCAGCTGTCGGTTGGTTCCAATTATACTATCAAGTTGAAAGTATCAACCCAAACATTTCCGATCGTGCTTATGTGAGAGAGTTCCAGCCAAGCAGTGTGTTACTACACGTTGCGACGAGCTGAAGGCACTGCGGTCTTGATCGATGATAGAATCTATTCGATCGGGTTTATGACTTTATTGATATTTTTATTTAAGCAACTTTAGCCAAATAAAGCGACGTTGCTACAAATAAGAGCAGGTGGGTGGGGGGGTTGGGTAATAAATTCCACTTCTTTCTGGTTTCACTTTTGGCTAAAAATTGGCAGGGCTTAGAACTTCTGAATTAAGGTTGCTAAACTACATCTAAAGATGATAAGTTTTAAAACTTTTGTAGTTTTTAAAGCACTTTTTATTAAAATTAACCTCGATTTAAATTTTTTTCTCACAATTTTATGCTTTAATTTCATTTATTTAATAATTTTTGATAATAATGTTACCTTTTCCATTATGGTTACTATTAAAACTACACAACTATCGATCAATAAATGTCATTTCCTCATTTTATTGCAATTCCAACCATTGCTGCAAATGTAGATGTCTACACTAGATGAAGAATGTAGATTCTTCAATAGTTTTTGTCTAGCTAAGAAACTTTCTTCATAAAGATCGATTCTATATGAAGATAGAAAATCTAATCTACACAAAGATTATTTCTACATAAAGATTCTGTCTACATAAAGATTCGATGTAGATGTCTACAATTCCAGGTCTACATCAGAGAAGAATGTAGAATTGTAGACATCTACATCGAATCTTTATGTAGACAGAATCTTTATGTAGAAATAATCTTTGTGTAGATTAGATTTTCTATCTTCATGTATAATCGATCTTTATGAAGAAATTTCTGTCTCAGAATTTATCTGATCCAGACAAATGGCCAGAATGCAACACAAAAGTTCACTTCCCTTTCATCAAACTCAATGTTTTGTTTAAAAATTTTCATATTATTCACTGCAATTCACTTTAACAACAATAGAAACACAAATAATCGATAATTTGCGCATGCTGTTGTGCTTAGTAAGTGCATATAAATTTTTTTATACACAATTTTTATGTGCAACACAATTTTTTCATGTCTAATAATTTTTATTTTTGACTCGCACACCCAAAAAAAAAGAAAACCTGCTTGTAATTAAAAAAAGCATAGCGACAAGTGTTGTATGTATGATAAGCTATCGCACAATCGATAAGAGCAAAAAAATTCTTTGTGATAAGTTTCACAATTTTTGAGTTTCAAAAAAGAATTTTTTTTCTATTCATTAAACCACAAAAAAAAATTATTTTTTTCCGTAAAAAAAATTCGTTGAAAGCAAGCCAGTCAGTCAGCGTCTTAAACAAAGGTGAATGTATACAAGATGAAGTCAATAAAAAGCTTACAAAATCAAATAAGATTCCAACTCAATTTATCACTAAAATTCCCGACTTTTCACTTTCATGCCGCAATTTTTCGACATCCACGATCGATATTTAACACAAATATGGAAAAACTTTACACATTTTTCCGGAAAATAGGGGAAAACTAGTTCACTATTAAAAAATAAAAAAAAATAATTACGACTATTTTTTCGGTTGTTCGTCGGGCGCGGTTGAAACGTAACTAACCCAACTGTATATTAAAGCGATTGGAAGTGGAGAGAAGAAATAAAATATAAAAAAAAAGTTTTTCGTTACGGGCTTGAGTGTGGAGTGAAAACTACAGACATAAAAAAACAAGTTTCAGTCACATGGCACGCTGTAAAATAATAGCAAAACGTCATTTAAATTTCCTCATACCACCTCAATTCCTCTCATCCCAACACCATGTGTATCAGTGCAAACAAAAGTGTGGAAAAATGCACAAGACACAAATACATGCTTACTTTTCACCTGAGTCTTGTGTTTGTGGTCGACTGGACATAAAAAAATATTTTTGCTTCTTCGTTTTATTTATTTTATTGTTTACTAGCAAGCTTTATGGAAGTCTTCAGTGGAAGGTAAACAAAAAGCTTCCAGTTGCATGACCTTGCATGCCTCTCACATCTCGTCTAATAAGCCAAACTGATCGAATACTGGAAGTGTATTTTTAATGATATTCTGCACTTTGGGATTTTTGTATAATCGACGCTTGAATTCAATTGCTTTTTCGGTCCGCTGATGTGCATTCTCAAAGCACGCGTCTGGTTCTTCGGACTTCATAAGTGGCATGATGATCATTGTTGTTGGGAATGCTGTGAATGATGATTATGGGTGGAATATTTTGTTGATTATTGTTTTTTGAGATTTATGGATGGGAATTAAATTTGGGTGAGGATTATTAATATTGATTGAATTATTTTTCAAGGTATGTGAATCTGGTGTCTCTAAAAGCTGTTTGGTCAGAACTGTGACAGGAAATTTGTTTTTAAAACCTAGCAATTGGTTGAGAAAGGGATCAGTTTTGACCAATTTTTCTACCTTCTTCCCATCCCTCTGGTTATGCAACAAGGGCCAGTGTCAAGGTCTACTCAGAGAATTCTTGGACAAAAATGAATTTCGATGTACTTCAATATGGGATATAGCTAGGGTGACCATCTGCGTAGTTTTTCAACGGACAGTCCTGTATTTTTCAAGACTGTCCTGTATCAATTTTTAAATTTTGCTCTTGGTCCTGTATTTTTTTTATGAAAATTTCCGTTAATTTTCGAATTTTACTCTATGTCCTGTTTTTTTCGAAAAAATTTACAAAATGTCCTGTATTTTCATGAAAATTAGATGGTAACCCTAGATATAGCAAAAACTAATTTGAGACCAGGTAGGGTGCCCCTAGGAGCCCTAGAAACAGGAACCTGGTCCCTAGTCTCGGATTAGTTTTTGTTGTATCCCATATTTTAGTACATCAAAATTAATTTATGTCCTAAGGTACTCCGGATAGACCTAGAAACTGAGCTCAGGGCCCTGGTCTACAAGGGTCTACAATTTAATGACCGTTCAAGTAGCTGACATATTATCAATTCCTTAAATCATCACTTTATTGACTTTATATGACAGCTGTTGAATATTATTAAGGTTTATAATTGTTAAACGAATCTGGCACTGCTAAAGCCTCTATTTAAAAGATAGACGTCATTTGTAAATTCCCCCTTATTTATAAAAAATGAATCCAATATCTTGTTTATTCTGTTTTCGTCAAAAAATAGCTCCCATAACACATTTACAGGAGTGTCTAATTGTTATATTTAAAATATAATATTTTCAAGACAACTTTCAAGCTGCTTGATTCCTTACAAACCAAACTCCAACATTTTCTAACACAACAAGTACACACGCCTTGAACTTTTTCAATCAACAGCCAAAAAACTCAAAAAATAATTTAAATTCAATTTACCATAAAAATATTTCTTCATGACCTGAACCTGAAAATCATGAAGCGATGGAAATGCCGATAAATCACAGTTCAATTTTACTAAAATCTTTTTCAGCTCATAATAGTAAAATTGGCACAAATAAAATATTTTCGTCAAACGAATCTCATCACATGCTGAAGAGTAAAAGAAGTACATTAAATCGATAGCTGGATGTCCAACAGAACAGAATTGAAAGTCAAGCTGGAAATGAAAAGAGTTTTTTTTGTAATGTCATCTCATCCCGAGCAGTACATAATGTGGTTTTATTTTGTGAGTAGCACCAGAGTTGCGAGACAGGCTTGTCAACAGGCACAGGTGACAGATCTGTCAAACCAGGCAATGACAGATCGCAACACTGAATAGCACAACCAAACATTAAGATCAAGTGATAATCTAATAGACTGTCACAGAAAGCACATGTGCTGCTCGGAAATGCAATGTCATGCATGAATATAGTGAGAACTTACAATGATCGCATCAATCGGAGACTTGTGCTTATCATATTTAAACATCAAGTTGTTACTCCATAAATCACTATGAACTAAGACTTTTAAATCACCCGGATCATTATCAGAGCATCTGAATGCTTTCTCATACATGAAATTCCTCAGTTTCTTTAATTTCTCACTGTACATCTCATAGCCTTCCCATGTGCTCACTTCTTCGATTAAAACTTCCATATTTGAGCTAAAGAAATCATGAAACGCAGACGTCTTGCGTGAGAACATGCCAACATCATATTTTTTAAATATTTGTGGATTTTTCTCCATGCAACAAACCGAGGCTGCATGGAATCTCGCCAATTTTTCTAAAGCAAGCTTCAAGTGCTTCATGTCGAGTCCAAAAGTTCTGTCAGCCATGATGAACCCTTTGACTGAAAGGTTTTCAAGGATTAAAGCGTCTCTAATGCGATCAACAGCGATGGCTTTTGGGAATATATTTTTATCTTCCTCAATTGTCCTCAAAACTGTCTTAAATTCTGGAAAAATATTCTGAAAAATGTCCATTTCCTTCTCCTGGACATTGTAGCAATCTTTTCCTAATTTCTCACATGCTAGCTCTGATAATGGCATCATTTTAAGGATGTAATGTCCTTTCCTCAGTGTCTCTTCATCTGTCTTAATCAAAGCATCAATACTGTACATAGAACTAGCATAAGCATCACCAACAGATCCGAATGGCTTCACAACTATGTTCTTAACTTTAAGTTTTGAATTTTTAAGAAATTTTTGAAGGATGTTCTCAAGATAAGTGGCAGATAGCCACTCTGGACCACGAAATTGTGTCAAATAATATTCCTTCATTTCTGACTGCAAATTGCTTTGTTCTTGACTGTCGATTCGCACTTCAGACATTTTTATACACTTTATAATGAGGAACTGACTGGATGATGATGAGATTTTGCGTTATTTATAATGTGAGAGACATCTAAGCTTATCATGTTAGCTAAGCTCTTACAATTTGCTTAGAAAATTCAATTTTATTACAGAAACGTGGATCAAGGTAAATATTGAGATATGAATTATGAAGATGTAGAGGATTGAGGATGGATAGGGGTCAAGAGTTATATTAGGTTGACTTTATTTGATTATGGATAACTTAAAGAATTCATGCTCATTGTTGAATGCTTAATAATAATAAAAATAATGTGAGAGGGTTCCAGCCAAGCGATGTGTTACTACAAGTTGAGACGAGCTGGAGACACTGCGATTCTGATCATCAATTTGAATGCTTAAAGTTGACTTTATTTTTGACTGGATATTTATGGCCAAATGCAGGGGGAAATTTACTCAGCCTAAAATTTTTTTTGAGTAAAAAATTATTAAAACAAAAGCGTAAAAAAAGAGTAAAATGAGTAAAAAAAAGAGTAAAATGTGTAAAAAAAGAGTAAAAAGTGTAAAAAAAGAGTAAAAAGCGTAAAAAAAGTGTAAAAAAGAGTAAAAAGTGCACTTTTTACTCTTTTTTTACGCTTTTTACTCTTTTTTACACTTTTTTACGCTTTTTTTACACATTTTACTCTTTTTTTTACTCATTTTACTCTTTTTTTACACTTTTTACTCTTTTTTTACGCTTTTGTTTTAATAATTTTTTACTCAAAAAAATTTTTAGGCTGAGTAAATTTCCCCCTGGCCAAATGTTTGATTTACTTTGTAATGTGGCGGGCATAGTGCGAATCCTTCTCATATCGGCAAAACTATAAACAGTAATTGAGGGATCGGTTTCTGATGGGAATTGAACCCACGTCCTCGAAAAAGAGGATTGGAGATATCAGGTATGTTGCCTTGCTATTCACGCTATAGAGGCTTATTTCTCGCACAGGCAGATTCGCTTATATGGAGACTAGCCATCTGCTTGATTTTTCAGAGGACAATACTCAATTTTTTTTTCATTTTTTAAAAATTAAATAAAGTTGTTTTGTTCTAATTCGTCCAGAAAACGAATAAAATTGACGTGAAATGACCTCTGTTTTCCTTTCAGGTCCTCTATTTTTTCAAAAGCTATCTGGCCACTCTACCTTTATGTGGCTTAATGCCACAGATTCCACTCTGCTCTGACATATTTGAAGTTACATTGGTATCATTTGGAGACTCAACAATGTGTTAATGTTCTGAAATGTGGCATAAATTGACAAGTTTAATATCGAACAAATGAAATGAAGGAATTTTTAACGAAGAGAGTAGGGGAGGGGGGGTCCAAAAAGGCATTTAATTTGAAATTTTAAATGAAACTCTTCCAAATTATTTTCATGTGGTTTTAAAATTTCATAATTTTACATATGCCAAAAAATAAATGCTTCTAGAAGGATTTTTTTCTGCAGAATTCTTGGTCAAGAGCCAAAAAAATTAAAAATGTAAAATTTTATTTTAAGCGCGACTATTAAAGTTTTCAATGTTTAAAGTGAAAAATCCATGAAATACCCAATACATATAATTTTATGTGACATTAAAATAGGTAGATATTTAAAAAATAAAATAATAATTGATTTCAACTCAAGATTCTACCTAATTTAAGTGTCTATAATCTAAAGTTTCCATATTATAAAATCAAGCATTCTATTTATCAACAAAAACTGTTCTAAAAACTGTTCTAAATTGTAATTTCAATCCTAAAATATATGCAAACATGACGCCACATTCAGAATTGAGAGGAAAAAGTTTCTCTCGCGCTACCTAAGCATTTCTCTCATAAACCCCTGACAAACCGACTCATCATCTCATATCGCTTTGGTTTTTCAAACAGTGAAGACGTAAAAAAGTTTATTCTAAAATTAATTGAATTAATTAAGTGAAAAAAATCGCCGGAATTAATTGACTTCGCTACGGTAAAACACAACTCAAACACTTCCAATCGTTTATAAGCTTTCTTTGCCCAGCAAATTTTTGAAAAAAACTATATAAATACTACAAATAAAAAAAAATTGTGCCTTGCTTGCTTCCAAAGAAAAAATATTTTGTTGTTGCTGTACTTCGGCCGCCATTTTGAATTTTTATTAAAGAAAATCGTCGATAAAACTATCAAGACGTAATTAAATCAGACTAGAAACGCTTAAAAAGTCATCTATAAAGTAAAATACAATAGCTAACAGTACCAAAGTTTCAATAATTTCGGTAAATTCGTATCTACGCCGATGACCCGAAAATGGGTTTTTGCCTCGCCTCTTTTTCTCAATACCGACGATTTTCGCCGTATATGAAAGAAATGTGCATTAAAATCGCGTCGCAATAACGAATTTTTTTATTAATCATTGAATTTCAAGATAAGAACAAAAAATGGCTAACAAAATAGAAAGAAAATGCTGAAGAAATCAAGACACAATATCGTTTAGAAAAATAATTTTTTAAAAAAAAGCCTGTTTCAAGCCTGTAAAATACATTATTTTAGCATTTCACTATAATTATTTTTTATAATATACAAAAATCAACAATTAACTTCAAAAAATCCTTCAAAAACTTTATTTAATACCTGCAAATTACCTTCCGACTTTTCACATGGCTGTTTTTATTAAGAATCTTTTTTTGATGAATGGATTTCATGAATCTAAGAAATTTTCACATTTTTCTATAAATGTGTGTGTGACTGATGCCATCATGATGGTTTTGAATGTATTAGTGTGTAAACATAAGACTGAAGAAAAAAAAATTATATCGACCGAATGAGAATGCGTGAGAGAATCAAGTGAAAAAAATAGATTTTTTTTTGTCAGAGAGTCAGGTTGAGAATATTTACATTTCTGCATGCTTTATTTTAAATATTGTGATCGTCTACGAGTTATTCACACCTTGCAAATTAAACTATCTTCTATATAAAATTATTTTCATACTGTTCTAAATGTTGGTTTGGATAGTTTGAGAGATTTTTGGGGGTTATTTTTGAGGATATTTGTAGATGCTAGAATAATTTTGAGGTTATTTTTTTCAAATAACGTTTATTTGCTAGTTTGTTTAATTCTTTAAAGCTAGTTTAGTCATAATTATTATTGGTTTGATCAGAATTTAAATACCTGCTTCCTTTTTCATCCTGTAAAGATCTTAAATTTGTTGTTTAAAAATTATTAAATTCTTAAATAATTTTCTTCAATTTTTCTCGTTTTTTTAAATTTCAAAACATTCAAATATCTTCAAAAATATTAAAAATGTCCTCTAAAATATTTAAAACAATTTAAAACATTGAAATTAAATTCTAAAATATTAAGATTTAATTCTAAAATATTAAGATTTAATTCTAAAACATTAAGATTCAATTCTAAAACATTCTAAATTAAAAAAAAATTAAAATATCCTCAAAATATCCTCACAAAACATCCCGAAAACATTCAAAATCAACAAACCTTTAACAACATATTTTCTTATAATTTCCATTTTATGTCAACAAGAATTTTAGTTTGGCTTTTATTTTAATTTTTATGATTTTTTGTCTTATTACTTATCTTATTATTATTATTTGTTGGATGCCTAGAAGTACTTTTTATATATTATCATATATACAATAATAACAAAAAAAAATCACCGACCGACGACTGTGAACTGAAAATGAATGATAATCTTTGAAAAATAATAAAGTAATTAAAAATGCACTAGTAAATACCAAAAAAGAGCCTTCACTTCAGTCACATTCATCGATTGATAATTTAAAATAATTTTGTTGTTTTTTAATTAACTACGAAAGTTTCAACATAATTTATTATTCTCAAAAAAAACCGTAAAACATAAAACAATGAACATAAATCGTCCTAATCTCTACCATACAAAAAAATTTCGCTTTCTACAAATTCACAGTCCAAAAACGACGTAACTCCGCATCGATCTTCGGAAGCTTTCTACACGACGACAGGCACTTAATAAAAATATATATCAACTATCAAAAAAAAATTATATAAATAATCATAAATCAGCAACAACATGTCTAGTGAACGTGGCACAAGAGTTTATGTCGGCAACTTGACAGACAAAGTTAAGAAAGAACAATTGGAAGAAGAATTCACAAGATTTGGAAAATTGAATAGTGTTTGGCTCGCACATAATCCACCAGGATTTGCATTCATTGAATTTGCAAATAAAGATGAAGCTATATCTGCATGTGACTCCTTGAATGGGCAAGAATTATTGGGATCGAAATTGCGCGTTGAAATCTCAAAGGGTAAGGGTCGCAGTAATTCACGTGGTGGTAGAGGAGGTGGAAGATTTAATGATCGACGGGGAGGAGGTGGATTCCGTCGGGATGGGGATCGTTTTAGTGATCGATCAGGTGGTTTCCGAGGACGTGGTAGAGGATTCCGTTCGGGAGGTAGTGGTGATCGATATGGTGGGTCATCAGGAGGTGGTGGGGGTGGTCCACGAAGTGGTGGAGGTGGATATGATCGTGGAAATCGTGACAGTTTCAGTTCAGGAGGTGGTGGAAGTGGAGGTGGAGGTGGATATCGTTCATCGGGTGGTGGTGGATCATCAAATCGATTCCGCTCGCGAAGCCCTCAAGGTGCACGCAGATTTTAAGCTTAAGGAATGAACCTTAGATTGATAAGATTTTAATGCATTAATTTTTTTTCTCTCCACAAAAAAAAAATGAAAAAACAATGAAAAAAATTCAAAGATTAAGAAAATATTATAAAGAAATTACTTCCCAAAAAAACAAAATAATGAATGATTTATAATAAAGAATAAAAAAAAGCATAAATGTACATCAATTCACGATAGAAAATTATGCTACACAATTTAATAAAATACAAGAAAAACCAAGTTATATTTTATGAAAAACTACTCTCACCCCCTCAGAAAAAATTGTGAATTAATTTTAAACAAAACAAAAAAAAAATCACGCAAATCGAGATTGTATTAACGAAATCAATAAAGATGAGATATAATTATGTCTTCGCTGCATTAATTTAGTAAATACCTATATAGTGAGAAAAATCTATATCTTCGATGAAAAGAAAGAAAAAGAAAAGAAAAACAAGAAAAATATTTATAATAAATATTTATACGTTATTTTGATGTGAATTTCTATCTCAACATACTCAGCGTTTGAATAAAATATACATATATGGATTTCTGTGAATTAGTTTTATGTGTATCTTTTATTTGAATCGACAAACACACAATTCATTTAGCCAAATTTGACAAAAAAAAACAAATCCTTGCGTTTAATAAAAAGAAAATTTTCATTACCACCAAATAAAGCTACACAAATGTTCTCTTATTTTTGAATTTTCAGAATTCGTTATGGATAATTTTTTTCTATTTTGCAGAATTTATTTTTGGAAGTGTGAGTCATCAATTTTACATGAGGAAGGAATGTAGGAATAAAATGAAGTGATTTGACAAGTTTCAATGTCTTATGAACTGTGAGAATCATTGATAAATTCAGACACACTCTACTTCAGATGATTGAGCTATCAAACTTTTTGAGAATCGAACCCAAATCCTTAAAAAATAGTGATGAATACTCTAGAGATTCTCAGTCTGTTACTTAACCACTCGGCTATAGAGTCCTTAATCTCGCACTAGTAGATTCGCCTACATATATATAAATATATTTTATTCTCTTTTTAAAGCATTAATGTTGTAAGAAAATAAATATATCAAATTATAAAGAATCAAATTGTGAGCAACAGCGTTTAAAAACTATAAAGAACTCACAAAGGTTAATTTCATATAAAATTATTATTATATGATCATTAAAATTTGAGATTATGTAGACTAAGATATAAATCGACATTCAAGATTTCAATCATCCATAACCACAAGTGATGAAGATGAAAAAAACAGCATTTTTCTTTCAATGAATATTGTCATTTCTTCTCAAAATTGTTTGGCTGTGTAGAATGATGAAATCTTGATTTTATAACCTTAATTGATATCCAATCATGGCTAATCCAATTCAAGGATGTTACAGTTGTAATTTGGCATTTGACTACTTACTTACTGTAACTTTGTTTTTATGTGGGGCTTAGATATGAATCTATTGCTGGCTCTGTCAGCTAGTTTGTAAAATTTATCTGTCCACACATTAAGCTGACATTCCCTCATCACTGTTCTGCGTCAAGTAGCTTTTGTAGCTCCTGGACGTCTTGCGGATTCCAACCAAGGGCGGTGTAAAAAACTTGTGGTTCTGTCCCAGCAATTACACTGTCTCTGGCATTTGTCTTATTAAGTGTATATCCAATCCAGCCGTTATTCTTCATCTGTATCTCCTTATTGATATCTTTTTAACCTGCTTTTTCAAGAAGCTTTGGATTCGTCGGATTCTCAGTCCAACAATTTCTAAGAATTCATCTAGAACAGCAACAGACGTAAACTTGAAGTTTCCTTGGAATATGAAAAGTAACAACAAATGACAAAGAGCTGAATCAGAGTTGAAACTTTGACGAACTATCAAAAATCATTTGATCTGCGTTTCATCAACTAGGAGAAGATTCATAGTTAAAATTATAACTTATTTTAGATTTTTAATTCATTTTAATAAGAAGTGAAAACTCAAAATATATCGAATTGTTTTGCAACTTGTTTACCGGCTCTTTTGTTATTCCAGACATTAAAAGACAGCTGCTCACAACAATTTCTAATAATTTATTCACTTCTGTCTTCAGCAAAATCCATGAAAATCAATCAAACTTTTCGATAATATTAACAAAGAAATGACAAGACACAAAAACTCGGCCATAAGATTTCATTTCACTTCTGTCAAACGCAAAAAGCTTCAGACAATTTTCTGCCCACTGAAATATTTACGAAAAAATTAGAAAAGCTTTTCATGAAAATGCGTTGGCTGTGAATAAATAAACAATTCAGTCATAATTTCAAGTAAAAATAGTCAATAAATATTTGATAGCCATGTATGTATAAAAATATCCGACAGTTTTTCATTTCCTACTCCTTTCTAAAGCTAAAAGTTGAATTGTGTTGTGTCAGCATGAAGCTCATAATTTTAATCCTAATCAAACGTATTTTGACCTATTATAATTATTAATATTTACATTAATGGATAATTAATTCGGACTAAGTCGGTAAATGAAACCAGCAATCGTAATTAATAAGCATGAATATTCGATTACTGGTCGATGGAAATAATTTGCGCATTCTGTGAGAATTTATGGAGATTATGCAGCTTTAAGGTTGCTTGCTTGGTGTTTTTCTTAAGGTTTTCATGAAATTTGTGGATAATGACTGAATTTTGAAATATTTTTTGGAACTTACAAATGTGGTTTTTAATGTTAGCCTTAGTCCACAACCGGAGCATCGGATTCAACTACAAACTGAAGGTCTAAAGGATGTGGTGCTATAGATTCTATTCTAGTTTGAAGTTTGAATCACAGTGATTCCAGCTCTCTCCATGCTCTAGCTTTTTTTTGTCTAAAGCCCCCCTCCCCCCTCTGTAATTTAATTTGACTGCTTAAAAACCCAAGTTTGACCACAACTGATCCAATCTACATCCAATCTAACATTTCCTGAACTTCAAACTGTCAACTATCATCAACTCATCGCATCTGCTCATCTATAAAAGCCTAAGATTCCATCATAAATTATTCAGATTGCACTCGGACGTCAGAAAGTCTATAAAAATTCACCCAGCCTTAACATTTTCTTCTTCTACTTAAAATCCTTCAAAGCTTCTCAAATGTTTGAAGCTTTAAAAATGAAAAGCTCGTTAAAAGCTCAGGAAATGAAAACTTTTTCAACCCATTAACGTTGTGTAAATATGTTAAAAGGTCCTTGCTCTGTTATCGTAATTTTTTCTTAATGATTAATATCAATCAGACATCAACATACGGATCATTATAATAGGTCAATATTCTTCTATAAATGTGCCATGCTGCGGTAACATATTTATGCTTTTAATTCATGATGGCTATGTGAAAAGCGATGGACTGTGGTTCGTTTGAAATTTGCCTACTGTCATTTTGTTAATCAAATATTTATTAAATATTTCCTAAAAATGGAAACACAATAATGTCATTCATAACTATACGGAATGGCGTTCTTTACGATTGTCCTAAATTACTATCGTGTTTCACTTTTGTGTAATTTTTTTTTGTAATGTCATCATCAAAAAGTAAAGCATTTTATCACCTAATGATCCAGATATGCATGATGCAAAACTGAAATTTGATGAATACTTCCTACTTTGAGGAAAGCTTGCGTGGAAAAAAATAATGAGGCGTAAAAAAAGGCTCTAAATAAGACTCTGCCATCTGCTCAGTTATTTCTACAACTATTCATTTACATAAATTTGATTCCATATGAATCCTTATTGTTATCGTTGGAAGGGGGGTGCATTGTGTGATTAGAATAAGATTTGAGTGACTTTATCTGGAACTTTTAATGTTCTTTTTTCAAATTTAAGTTGATTAATCAAAAATAAAATTTTGTTTAGTTTAAAAATTGCTTAATAATTTTAAAACGTTTAAAAAATAAAATTTCTGAATTTGTTTAAAAATTGGTTATAAATTTTCTCAAAAAAATTCGAGAAAACCAACAAATATTCCGTTTGCAGTTTCGGTCGTTGCTTACCATCAGGAGCTTAGCAAGAAATTTTTTTAAGTATGGTTATAGTAGATTTGGGGGGTTATGGAATTATTTTCTCAAAAATCCTCAGCAAATTAAAGAAGTTCTCAAAAATGGTAGGGGTTTGACCCAGTTTGACCCCAAAATCTCTCCTAAGAAAAAACTAAGATGTACCGTGGCACAAAAAAGGTTATCCTCCACTGATTTAAAGCTAAATTGTTAATTTGAAAAAGAAAACAGTTTTTAAAGTTTTTGAAACTAAAGTTTTTAAAAATCAAAAAATTCTAAAGTGAAATTATTATTTTTTACATTTTAATTTCAAATTTTTAAACTTAAGTTTCAAAACTTTCAAACTTTTAAATTTCATTTAAAAAAAATTTGAACTAAACTCTTTGATTTGATTTTTAAAATTTTTGTATCAATTTTTTGAAAATTTAAAATCATTATTTTCAAAATTTAAATGAAATATTTTTGAAAATTTAAGAAATTTATTTTTAAAATTTTCAATATTTAATTTCTAGCTTTCTCCCACGCAATAGCACATCATCCCCCTTGTGTCATCATCATAAACCATTATTTCGTCCTCACAATCACAATCTCAATCATCTTGCGCATCTCTTAAAAAAATATAATACACACAGTAATATTTTAATGGTAACAGAAATCCGAAAAGTATGTAGTATGAAGCAACAGTGTGTCGCCTAAATATTTTTTCCTGTTCACGCTATATGAGACCGCTTTTTTTTTGCTTTCCTTTCAGTCAAAGTCTTTTTCCTCATCCGAACACATTCAACAGTCTATAAAAGAAAATGTGCTATAACGTTTCTGTTTCAGAACTCTTTCAACCAGTTGAAGCGTAAGGTGCGATCGCAAAAAAAATAAGTGAAGACACATAAAAAAATAAATTTTTGTAATTACTGAAATTTTTTGTTAAATTTAATTTTGAGTTTTTTTTTGTGACAAAATATTTTAATGAAAAAAAGTAGAGAAATTATGGTGAATGTAGATTTATTAATGATCATCCTTATCATTGGATTAACAAATGTCCATTGCATGTCAATAATAAAGCGAAGTGAGGAACGCACTGATAATAATCTTGAGAAAGTCGATGAGTCGATATACAAAGTAGATTATGACGTATATCCGGTAAGTTGAGTGGTGATTTATGTGAATGTGCTCTTAAAAATAATATTGTGCGTATAGTCAAGCATCTCCCACACATAAATATTCAATTTATATATTTTCTATTGCGATATAAAAAAAATTGATAAGGGAGAGAAAATTAAATTTTTTTATATGTAAATAAATTTTCACATATGCCATGTCGTGAGGCTAAAGCAATAAATCACATAATTGGACATGCAAGGTTTTGAATTCATCGTAAAGGTGTAATTTCATCTGCTGTCTTTTACGCTTTAAAAAAGCACGCGTTTTTTTGTTAACAAAAAGTGTTGAGTTCTTTTACCTGTTGCATTTGCTGTGGGTGGCATTTACCTTTTTTTGTGGAGATTTTTGGGACTAATCTTGTGCAAATTACAGTTGAAGATCAGACATTATTGTTGATTTGTGGTTTATAGAGGATTTACAATGCATGACAGTTGTATGAAGCATTGCTTAGGCATTATTAAATTAATAATAAAGTTGCTTAACCTTATGAGTGGCTGCTTACTTGTTATGTCTATTTTATGATGGGTCTGGGCTTTATTGAACTAATTTTCCAAATATTTTTCTTAGAGATTTTATTTAAAGAGAAGAAAATTAAGATCAAAAATTAAAATAATTAATAGCTTTAAAAATGTAAAATTTATTATTTTGTAATCATTAAATTTGAGTAGATTATTGATTAATTTTCAATTCATAATCCCACTTTTTGGCATTTACCTTGAAACTTTAGGTATTTTTCAAATATTCTACATAGCATTTAAATTCTACAACTTAATCAAAACAATAAAAACCTAGCAAATACTTTTTTATGTTAAGTAAATAATTAAAAACTATAATTTTCACTAGACTTGAGTGCTTATCTCTTCCAAGAAGTAGTAAAGCAAACCTTTATAGGAAGGAATTTTTTTCTATTTGCAGACAGTTGCAAATAATATTCATGAAAAAAAAAATATCCTATTCAAATATGAAGATTTTTTCAAAAAATATTTTGAAAGACTAAATGTGTTGCGTAATTTTTTTTAAAAGTTTTGTGGATTAGATTAAGATTTTACACTAAATGTTTATGATTTGTTTTTAAAAGCTTCATAAATATAACCAAATGAGTGCTTATGAAAGTGACGATTGGCTTAAGCAATAGGTCAAACAATTAATTTAAACCGAAATAATCGGCTTTCATCTCTGAATTTTTTCACTAGCTTTTCAAAACTAGATACAACAATCACCAGAGCTTAATTTATTTTAAAGAAAGCCTGAGTAGAATTGTGGCTTTGACTAAAAGTTATGTTTTACTTCTGCAGCTTCCTGTGATAATATCTTACGTGCTTTAATTGACTTTAACTTTGTTTTAACTTTCTCGTGGATTTGATGTGTTGAAAAGGACGCTAGAGTCCTTAATATCCCGAACTGGCAGAAGGTTTCTAAGGATACATCTGTCTTCAGACGATCTCTAAGCGCGGCAATGGGCCCACGTGCACCAGAAGAAGAAGAACTTTGTTCTAAACTTAACTGTTTCAGTTTGTAATTCAGATCAATTGTGATCCAAAACCAAATCATCCAAAACCTTGCTTAGTCATTAAAATATTAGCTTTGTGGTTTTATGGACACAACACAATGATGATATTCTATAGCAACACTGACTAATTATTTGGAATGACTATGACATTTAGATAGTCAATTAATCTACAATAAAAATGGCAATATAATTTTGTCGATAATTGCTACCATGCAATTTAGATCCGCACTATCAACCAATGCCAAAAAAAATATTGAAACCCAAAAAACCCACGAAAAATTCACTAGAAAAAAATAAAGCTATCAATAATAAATAAATGGGGAATTTTTATTGCTAATCTTCAATTTTTTTCAAACCTAATGGATCAATCAATTATTAATAACAATTTGCCGGCACAACAAAACACATCAATAGCCACACATTTTCACTTTTTGTGTTTGTCTTGCCAGTTTTTCCAGCGAAAAAAATTATGAATATTTTCACGTTAAATTGCGTGACGTTTCAATTTTCCACAAATAGTTCGCATTTTCACAACGATTCTACGCAGCTAGTGGGGAAATTTTTTTATTTTTCAGTGATTCAATTTTTCTTCTAGAATAATGTAAAATAAATTAGATCAAGAGTTTGTCACAGCAGCGGCTAATGTAAATATAGCAACAAGACGCAACAAGTGATGGAATGTGATCATGAATAATTCATTCAGATTATTTTTGACACATATCGGAATGCGTTCTTGCTGACCGCACTAAAGTTCAATGTTCTAATTTTGAGATTATGAAAATAAATTTGGGAAATTCCGAAAATCTACTTTGAAGCTTTAATACAAAATCGTTTGAAGCTTATTGCTTGTTTTTGTCATAACAAAAGGACATGAAGGATTTATTTATGTGATGTGTGGAAGTTAAAGTTTGGTTGAGTTTTTGACAGTCAAGCGATGGTCAATATGATGTTAAATGGGTCAACTTGGAAGTTATAGATTCTGATGAGTTTGAGTAACTTTGAGTTTAAGGTTTAAATTATTCATTTCGAGCGGCTTTGAAGTTCTAATTACTGAAGAAATGACGTGATTTTGGCTTTCCATCAAGGTACGTTCCTACGAGGGTTGACGTTCCTCTACAGCTATGTAGTTTGAGAATTTTAATGACATTGCATCAGGTTCGTTGCCAGATTTTTTTATATGGACGGGAAAACTTGCGAAGGATTGAGAGTTTTTTGTCTCAAAACCCTAGCAAATTGACCAGTTGAGAGAAAAGTTGACCAATATCTGCTAAAAATGATGATTAATTCCAATATTTACATAACTTTACCGTTTTCAACAAAAGCTCCAAACGAATTTACATTTTTTTCTCACACACATCCGAGCATTGAACAAAATCAGAAAACTTTTCTAAGATTAAAAGGTTAACAGCCTAATGATGTGTTATCCTGATTCAGACATAAACAAACTCTGTTGCTATTATTTTGAATAACAATACATATTCAGTCATTGTAAAAGTATTTTTGGGAAAATTTGTAAGTAAATGAGGCATGATCGAGGAGATGCGTGGGGGATTGCGTCTAAGTATAAGTATTTTTGAATTGAGGGATATATTTGCTGATTTGATGAATGATTTATAAACAAAGATTCTCCACAACAATTAGGAAAAGTTTAAGAATTTCGAGGAAATTTTAATGAAAATTCTCGAGACATGTGGAATTTTTTTGTACAATTTAAATATTTTTACATATAAGCTTTAAAATGCCAAATTAAATTAAGAATTCCAAAATAAAATATTGTCTTTAATGAAATTTGAGAGTATTATTCTGAAGAAATGGATATTAAATTAGAAAATTCTATAGACGGTGCAACATTTCTTGAAAAACTTGATATTTGTTGCTTGTTGATTTGAAAATTAAACTTTTTATAACCTTCATTTAAGGCTTAATTTAAAAAAAATTGCAATCCATTTAGATTTCAACATTGTTTTTAAATATATTATTTTGTATCTAGTAAAACAAAACTTTAGATCTAAAGCTAGGCTTCTGCTTGGTTTTTCAGAGGACAGTCCACTATTTTTTTTTTCATTTTTCAAAAATAAATTCAAATTGTTTTGTTCTGATTCGTCCAGAAAACGAATGAAATTGCTAGGCACGTTAGATGTGCTTTATGTTGTAAAATAACATCTGACCACCCTTATTTATAGCCCATTTGTTTATGGATGTGGGGATCATAAGTGCAATATCGTCTGCTTTGAGCGAATCCTTGTCATATCTAGATAGTGAGATTAAGATCGGGTCCTTGGTGGGAATCGAACGCGAGTCTTTACTATAGAGGGTTACAGATATTCGGTCTGTTGCCTAAACACTCGCTCCACAGAGACCTAAATCTAGCACTGGCAGATTCTCATTTATATGGCTCAATACTCCAGATTCTACAATGCTTAGATATCACATTAAGCTTATATATAATTCTTTAAATTATTGAGACCCGCTTAGCTTCAAAATACTGAACGTTTGACTTAAAGATCCTTAAGAAGTTCTTTATTCATAAAAAAATTATTTTCAATTAATTTTCAACTCTATGCAGAGTTAGACATCAGGGATAAAAAAACATTTAAATAACAAGCAAGTGTGTGGAACTGAAGAATTCAGGGGGAAAACCACTTGACGAACAATTTTTCTGTCATTATCCGTCACTGGCGGAGAATTGGCGGAAAATTTCCGCCACTGGCGGAGAATTGGCGGATAATTGACGGAAAATTTTCCACCACTGGCAAATAATTTGCAAAACAAACACACCACTTTCATATATAGAATCAATGAATTTTTTTTACAATTTCGATTTTTCGGTAAAAATTCCGAAATGTTCGTAATTCAATTTTTGACCATTTTTACTAAAAAAATTAAGTTTAAATATTTGAAAATAATTGTGATGGAGGAAGTTGTATATTATTTTAGCTAAAACAACTTTTTGTGATATTTTTGATTAATCATTATCTTCATATTCAATGTTTGGTTGGGACTGACGATTAATTTCTTTTGCTTTTTTCGCTTGTTTTTCACGACGTCTATGCAAGTATATTTTAACAGCAGTTGACGAGTCACCTAATGAACTATACGTGCCAGGTGTATGAGCTTCTATGATGTCAAAGAATAAATCAAAATGGCCTTCACATTTATTAAAACACACACATCCTAGAAAGATAGAAAATTTTATTAGATTGATGACAAAACAAATTTTCCTAAATGTCAAAACTTACCTACAGTGTCTTTCCAACACAAATTATCAATGAAATTACTTTCAAAATACATCTCTAACAAAGAAAGCATTAAACTATTCTTTGGAGCAGCACTTCCGATTGGACGAATATGGCTTTTATAATAGTTGACCATTGCGGACCTTTTCTTTGAAAAATCTTTATCAGTAGTAGGTTGCTTACGATGTGCTGCCAGCATTTACTCCAAACTGAAGAAGCTATCACGATCTTTTATAGGAGCAATGCTTGAAATATCAACACTTGAATTAGTTGATGACGAACGGTCTCGATTCCCTCCAATTGAGCTTCCAAGTGCTCTCAAATGCTCCATTATGAATTTCTGGTTAGAAAAAATCAGAGATCGAAGCCGATTTTTTCGGCTTAACTCAATTTTTGATTTTTTTGATAGAAAAAAGCCATTTGACACCCATTTCAAGTATTTAAATTGAACTTTACATGCTTTACTATGATTCTGTGTAATATTTTGTCAGCATGTAGCTATAGTGAGCTCAGAATTTCAATTTAGCCGATTTTAAGCCGATCGGCTTAAAAAAAAGTAAAACTTGCAATAATTTTTTGGATTTACAAACCATTATGTTTGAACTGGTGTAATGCTGATGCCTTCAAAATTTTTTCACAATTTAAACACTTTATAAATACACGTCTGTCTTTTTTAAATTTTCAATTGCAATTGAGGAAAAAAAATTTCTAGAAAATCGAAGGTAACTGAGATTTAAATGTTTAAAAGAAAAATGCTTGAAGTATTGAATAAAAAATTGGTCTCAGCAATCACAAAATTTTCACGTCATCGTCATTCATGACTTTCATATGATCGTCATATGATCGTCATGATATTTTAGAAAAAAAAAATCGTCATACAATCGTCATCGTCAGACGATGACGCTCATATGACGATCATTTGATCATCATCGTCAAATTGTGCCGCTCGGGTATGTTTGTAGTGTTAACAAAAATGTTATAGACTTTACAAAGAGTATTAGCGCTGTAAATTATGCATTATTGGAAGAGAAAATTAATTTATCTTAAACACTTTTTGTTATTATTAAAATAAAGTTTAAAAATTTGTTAAAAATAAAATTTAAAATAAGAATTTTTTTTAAATATTATGCTAAGTTTAAAAAAATTAACTTATTTTTTTAATTTTAAAACGAATTTACTTTTGGTAAATAATGGTGGAAAATTATCCGTCACTGGTGGAGAATTGTGGCCATTGACGGAGAATGGCGGAAAATTTTCCGCCACTGACGGAGAATTTACGTTTTTATCCGTCAAATTTTTTCTCCGTCAAGTGGTTTTCCCCCTGGAAGAATTACATTTTGATCATTTTTGATAATTTCATCAGTACCACACCCTTGATAACAAGCAGTGTGTTGCTCCAATAAAATTAAGAAAGATTGAATTTAAAATAAATTTTCTCATAGTTCTAAGATTAGCTTCATACACTAAGAATAGCTTTACCTACAAAGCTAATAAAAACCAAGGCGGAAGACCGATTTATCCTCAGAGACGGTCAAGGTTTCAATACTTTTTAATAATCATGAAATTTCCCACATAAGATTATAAATATAACTTCTATACACTATCCAGCAAGTATCCTCAATTCAATGATTTCATTATTCACACAAGCTTCAGATAATCATTACGTCAGATAAGCAACAAAACAACCAAAGAATTCCTTAATAATAAATAAAGTGTTAACGATTTTCTGAGAATCAAGGATGTAAAATAAATGTCACTAAAAGTGGTGATAAAATATAAAGAATTTAAACAGAAGTTTGAAAACTTATGATAAAGATTCTCGTCTCAATGGTCGGGGAATTCCTTTGAGATCCTGCAGAGCTATTTAAGTGTAAAATTGTATAATGTGTGGATGTAATCTTCTTAGAATAGTTTAAAAAAAAATTGAAAAACAATTCGCTGTAAAATTTTCATCTCTTAAAATGAATCGTAGCGCGTGTGATCCTTAGTATCATCTAATAAACAAGCTATTAAGTATGAGATTAATTCAGAATCTCACAATTTATTACAAAAGACAAATAAAGCTCAATTTCTCAATCGCCAGTTATCAATAGCCACAATTTAATAAACTTTCTATTAATCATCTACAGATAGTCTTCCCAAAGCGCGCAGCAATGCTCCTAGATCGTCTTATGGTCGCACTTCATCATGCTTTAGAAGATGACGATCCAAAGCAACTCCAAAAAATTAATGAATTGTATCGACATGGTCAATTGCCACAAATAACTCCAACATCACTAAAACCAAATATACAGCCAAAGTATTATAAAGGTAAAACAGACTCTGATGCTTATTATGGATATAAATTGGTAAATGGACAAGCAGGTGATTTAACATACTACTAATTCTAATTTGATTTTGTATTGGTGTTTATCGTGGTATAGTTTTCGTTGGTTTTTATATCACTCACTTTTTTGAAATTCAAAATGACATCAAAATTACTTTTTTAAATCAATACACGAGACACTACTTAGAATAGACAATTTATACACTTATCATCCACTTTCCATTTTATTACAGACTTGAGGGATCGCATTTTGTGAGCTTTCTTTACGGGCTTTGTGAAATGATATTCCTAAAGTTGAGATTTATTTTTCGATGGTTTATTGAGAGATGAATTTTTTTTAAAAAAAATTGTTTTGTGATGCATTATGAGACTGGAATTGAAAGATCTTTTTTGGAATGACAATTTAAATCAGGGTTTCAAAAAGACATCTGAGAACCGTTCAATTCCTTAATAAGTTGTGAGGTTTTATTTGAATTTGTATGGTTTTATTAGAAAAACCTTACAAATTATCAAGGAATTGTACAGTTCTCACCTGTGCACAGGTACTTGTATCGCAACCCTGATTTAAATTGTTGTACCAGAGGCGTATCCAGGAAGGTTCTGACCCCCCCCCCCAAATTTTGATCCGCATCGAGAGTACTACTCTAAATTTTTAGGGTTGGGGTCCATACCCACCTGGCTATGCCCATATGTTATACTAAGAAGATGATCATTAAGCTTGAGACATCTGGAAGGGTTTTACGTCTGAATTAAAATTGACATGTTAGATTCGAACCCCAGTCTTTTGATTTCTCATTATTTATTTGCTATTGCCACTGAACTATCGAAGTTAATTAAAGTGCAGACCCAAATCAAATAATAAACCCGAATCAAGGGTGTGGAACTGAAGAATTACATTTTGATCATTTTTGATCAATTTTGATCATTTTTGATCATTTCATCAGAACCACACCCTTGACCCGAATACCACAAGTCGGTTAATCGAATAGAAATCCGACGCAAAGCTAGCATGACTCTGGCATGTTGCTGGTTTCCTTGTGCCATCCGGAAAAATGATTTACAACAAAATAAATAGATGCTTAATGTCATTCCTTCACCTGTTGATCATTAAACTTCATAAAAGTCCAAAATTCAAAAGCCAATCGCAAAACAATTTTTTGTTTAAAAATTCTTCTCAGCAATATTTTTGACCCCACTCATCCTAATGTTAATAAATATTAAAATGTTTTATCTTTCCATTCGCCTGACTCTTCAAACAAAGATGAATCAGAAGATATGGAAGGAAGATCAATGGAATTAGGTATCCGAAGTGGTGACTACGACAGCGATTTTCCACTAAACGATGACTCAGTAATTAATTTTGCATAAAATATCCTCAACAGCTCATTAACTTTTGATCATTTCCACATAGATGGACTTACAGCGAAGAGGCAACTCAGCGGGTCCAAATCAAGGCCACGTCTATTGGCGATGTTATTTCAACGCAGTGACTTGCTTCTAAAATGAGTCAAGCATTTTTTTTCTCAAATGAAAATTTTAACAAAAAAAATTATACTCAATCCTCCCATTTTCTATTTGAATTTATCATAAAATGACATTAATATCCATTTAGATGAAAAAAAAAAGTTAAGAACCTGGAAAAAAAATGTTGAAACATCAAAAAAAAATTTTCAATGCATTAATATACTCGATTATGATGGTTGTAACTAGTTAATGCAGTTAATAATAAAATGACTATTAAAATTGTGGAAATAAACAAAAAATTGTGCAAAATCATTTTCCATTTTATTTTAAAAATAGAACCGACGTAGGATTTAAAAGCATCGTGACAAGATAATTTCAAAAAAAAAGCACATCGACAAGCTTTCAATCATCGCAACGACATCTACAGTAAACTTTAAATTCGATTCGAATCCTTGATAGACGCAACATGTCACAGATACATCCACGCAACAGATACAAGAAACGCTATGACGTCATCATGTCAATAATTTGCGAGCCTTTTTTTGTGTGGAGTAGAAAATCAACGAATGGGATTTATTTCTGAATGAATGACGTCGCTGGGTGAGATCGAGGAAGAAGAAGACAAATTTTAACCTATTTTTTTTTATGCTTAGTCAAATTTGATGAATTGCGACGCATAAACTAGTTCTGAGAATATTTGTAAAATTTATTACTTAAAATATTTTGTTGTTTGATGTCTGTTTATGCTTGATATTTGACGTAAGTTCAGTCAAATAAATAAACGCGCTGGAGTGGATCAATGAAAGGATATTTATCATTTGGATCTTAAAAAGGATGATGAAATGTTTACGAAATAGTAGCTTTGTGGTGTTTTGTTATTTTTAAGATATTTTTTGTTGATTTCGGGTTTTTGGTCCTCAATTTTAATTCTTAATATTGAATTTAAATAATGAAATTTAAGTAACAACAAGCCTGGAATAGAAGAATGTGTGGGGATGAAAATAATATTGTGATTAATGCCAAAAACCTTCGTGAACCTTTAATGAATAGACTGACTAACTGCTCACTTTTGAGCCGGACAATTCCGCTTTTCGAAATAATTCCCGCCTAGAACTTTTTATGTCCAGCTTTTTTGAACCTATTTTTCTAGAAAAATGTTTGAAAATTTGGACTGTCACGCTTTTTTAGAGCTGAAGTCGGGACATGTCCCTCTTTTTGACCAAAAATCGACAAATCGATGAACAGTCTGATAATTAGCGAACAAAAAAATCTTTTTGACTTTAACAAAATCTTTTAACTTTAGATTTTATTATAAAACTTTATAAAGTCTTGTTATTAAGAGTAATATTGCTTGTCAGAGTTGGTCGCTTGAAGCCAAAATTAACCCGTTCTTTACTAGCGTAACATATATGTTACGCCAACTTTTTCTTAGGGTTCGTTCACTTATTACGTAACGCACTAGGGGGGGAGGGGGGGGTCTAAGATTTTGTTACGGTTTGTTACAGGGGGAGGGGGGGGTCTAAATTTTGTTACGTAACTTTTCAAAAAATATATTTTTTCTATATTAATTTTAAATTTTTTTATCGTTAAATTTTAACTTAAGAACTTTTTAGAATCACCGAAAAATTATTCACAAACGTATAGTTAATACTAAGAAAAAACCAAGAAAAGTAATATGCAGACGTGAAAAAGAAGTATTAGTACAATTGCAAGAGGATTTGGATTGGGTAGAAGCTGAGAACTTGGATATTGAAGAGGAACGTGCAAATACTGATATTATTGTTGAATATCAAAATGTATTTGCAGTTGAAGATCATTTTCAACCAATTTGGGAAAACGACTAATGATTACAAAACTTATGAGTTTTTTGCGTTTAGTTAATAATATGGATGTAAACGATTAATATATTTTTTTATTGCTTTCCTTCTATTTACTTTTACATATGTACTTAAAGGAAGTATAATAAACATTTGATAAACAATTTTAATGAAAAAAATTATTGTTACGTTATGGAGGGGGGGAGGGGGGGTCTAAGATTTTGTTACGCTTTGTTACAGGGGGGGAGGGGGGGTCTAAAAACTCGTTTTTTTGCGTTACGTAATAAGTGAACGAGCCCTTAAAATTCTCTACAATAATTGATTTTACATTGAATCTGATTAATGATTTACATTTATAGCTAGATTAAGTACCTTCCCTAATACTTTATGCTGCTTATTTATGTAAATTGGAGAAATTAATTAAAGTTTTCTTTTACATGGAAAATTTAGTCGTTTTGAAACTCAAAATTTTCACATTTTCTGACTCATTTTTGATCAGAACTGGACAGATTTATAAAGTAAATGGTCTATAATTATAGTTAAAAACTCACTAATAAAGGTAAAGCATAGTTAAATACATTAACTATGTGACAATAATAAATGTAACATATATGTAACGCTAGGAAAATACGATATAAATTGCCCGTTACATATGTGTAACGCTAGTATTTTGCAAATATTTTAGCGATTTTAATTTAAAATATAATTTAATTAATTAAACCGATTTGGCTTTGAAGTACGTCAAATTATTTTGTGTATAGCTAAATTATGATAAAAATAAGTGATTCAGTGGCAAAAATATTAGTATGAGTGCTTTAAAGAGGATTTTTTGATGTTTGAAAAAATTTGCATTGAAAAATTAAAAGAAAATTTAAAATAGACTTTTTTATCATTTGGAATTATTTGAAGAGTTTCATAAGGGAATAACTAATGAAATAGAGTGAAAATAACGAGCTAAGTGAGTTCAGAACGCCGAAAAATGTTTCATTTGAAAGATATGACATATATTAAAAGTGTAAAATTTATTTAAAATTATTGAAAAATGTAAAAAAACTGGAAATTCATGGAAAATTTATATTTCAATCATTTTAAAAATATTTTTTTCAACAAATAAATTTTTCTAAAATTCATATTAATTTTGGTTTCCAGCAGCTTCCCGAAGGCCAACTCTGTTGCTTCCCTAATTTCATCTTCAGTAAAAGAAACAAATTTATAGATCACAATACACAAAATGGCTTCACTTTAATCAAATTCAACAAATAATAAAATTATTAGGAGCCTTAAAACAACTTGAAATTTGTTTACAAAGTTAAAATATTTTTCGAAACTTTCTCCTGAATCCTTTTCTTGGCATTTAATAAAAAAAGGGATGTAAATTCACCCCCCGTTACTCATCTCCGTCATAAAAATGTTATGACATGTCAATATTTACTTTATAATTTCTTTAAATAAATATGAGCAAGGTTGGAGATTGTCCTTCGGTAGTAATGAGCATCTTAAAAATAGAATTTGCATTTTAAAGTTTTCTGATGAACGTTTTTTAATAATTTTCATTATTTTTAATGCAAATAAAGTTTTAAAATTTTTTAAATTTTTAACCTTCAAAATTAAATAATATTGACTCAATTTAGACCTTAAAAAACCTTTCAAACTCAACAATATGGCAAATAGTAAACAAAACGTTCAGTGTAGAATGAATGAAAATGATTAAGACATAACTTCTGCTTACGTAATCATGTCCTGATAATAGAAGAAAATGTGTAGGCAGTGTAGAATTTATAAAAATGAGTAACATGCTACTTCCATTAACTTTTTTTGTCTTTTTAGATTTATTTTGGATGTAATTAATTTTGTTGTATTTTATAATTTTTTTTGAATATCTAGCATTTTTTTAAGACAGTTCATTTTTTAGAGCGGATTAATAATGAAATCCAGAACTTGCAGCAGAACATTCAAAGCACACACTTAAATTTTTAAAATCTGTTTCTTTGCTTCTGAGGGGCTAAGAATGGCTTTGACTTAAGGACTTTAAATGCGAGCGGATATGATGAGGTCTATAAAGTAGCTAGTTGCTTAAAATCATTCAAACTCCCCTCAAATGATAATAATTCATCTCGCCTTCCTGAACAATATTATTTCTTCTAAGAAAAGAAGTCATAAACTTTAAACTTCACTCACATCACGACTGCATGAGATTTAAATAAATAAAAACTCTCTTTTGTAAAGCTATAAACACCACAACTAAAAGTAGTAAGAAAAGTCAATTAAAGTTTTTTATTGAAAAATTTACATTTTATTCATGCTTATATGAAAGTTTTTCAGAGCTTTCATTTTCCTTTACATGACACATTATGAGTGAATAAAAGGTGAGAAATTTTGCAATAGAAAGAGTAAAAATCTGTGATGAACACCTGGAGAATTTAGATTCAAAGCGCAGTTTTAAGTTCGGAATTTCTAGATTGACTGATTTGCTAGCTGAAAACCGTCGATTGAGGGACACATGAATATCAGAATTCCAAACAGTAGACTAAAGACTTACTTACTTATTTCGATGACCTTAAAGATCAAACGTAATCCATGGCCTCCCTAAGATGACGTCTGAACTTAGCCCTATCGCTCGCTACCGTTTGACAATTACCAAAAATTGCAATACTGTTTCTGTCAACAGCTCCTTTCTAAAGACTAAAAACAGAAACCAAATAGCTAGCTGAAGAGATGAATAGACAGACTGAGAGATAGACACACGAACAGACGGACCGACCTATGAATCTCCTCAACGTAGAAAAATGCACTGCAAATTTTTGATGAATAGAAAAAATTGCATCATTTATTATTAAACACACGTGACTTTATTCCTTATGATGCACAACAAAATGTACTAAAGAATTATTTTCTGGGGGTGGCATTAAAATTGTTGACATGAATCAAATTTCAATAAACGTCACACTTCTTCTTTTTTCATGTTGTGTGCTTTTCTTATCGTAACCTCAAATTATTTTTTTTTTCTCTCCTACCACGTAAGTTATAAAAAATTGGAAGAGATTTATCATGTTCCGGATCATTGAAGATCAAAATACAATGGCGGGAATAACATGACTTCTTTTTATTCCGGCGGATGTGATGATTTGCATTTTTAATTTTCTTAACAAGAAAGAGATGTTAACGGTTAACCTCAGAATATTTTTTGGTGATGAATTACAAATTATCATCTTGATGGCATGAGAAATTCATCATGAAAATCTTTCTGATTTAAAAGCTTTGATGCTTGTTGATTTTTTTGGGGGGTTGAAAGCTGGGATAAGTCTCGATTTCAGTTCGGCTAATGCGCGACAGTCCAAATTTTCAAGCATTTTCTA